GCGGTAACGCTGCGTATGCAGTAACAGTGTGTACACAACACAGCGTGTATATTATGTGCCCTAACACAGGCTGCTCTATGCAAACAGTCACCGCATTGTGTACATGCAGTAAGGCAGCGTGTGTAGCATACAGTAACACTGCGTGTATAGTTAATATTGATACCATATTGTTTTTGTTGACCCTCTTTTCCACTTACAGAGCTAATTTACTGTTTTTCTTCGAAATAAATATTCAAAAACATTTAACTTACTGATGCCTCAATTAATGTAATTTTATTGGTATCTGTTTTTATTTTGAAATTTACCAGTAGCTGCTGCATTTCCCACTCTAGTCTTATATATTTGAGTCAATAAGTTTTCCCAGTTGTTGTTTTTTTTGGTGGTAAAATTAGGTGCCTCGGCTTATATTCGGGTCAGCTACTACTCGAGTATCTATGGTACATCTAGCATTCTGGAGACACATAGGCAAAAGAAAGAGGTTTCACTAGTGGCAGTTGACATCTTGGCAATGAACAGGATTGATAAAAAGAGAATAAAGAGGGATTTGTATTTCATTGTATATTCTGCTTATAACAGTTTATAATTCCTTTATATTAATAATTTTAATTATAGTTACAATTATCTACTAGAATTGTATTGTGTGTGTACTAGAATTATCTAATAATTACTTTTTAATAGACCACTTCCAATTTTTAGCCATATCTTTGATTACTTCATTAAGATATATTACAAGATATCAAAACTAAACCAAACTCACACACGAACTGCCATCAAGTCCACTCTGACTCATAGTGACCCTACAGGACACAGTAGAACTGCCCCTGTGGGTTTCTGAGACTGTCACTCTTCACAGGAGTGGACAGCCTTATCTTCTGCCCATGTAAAATGTCAGGGGAAGGTTTAATAACCACCACAGATGACACAACTTTGCTTACTGAAAGCAAGAAGAACGTGAAGTACTTATCGACAAGATCAACTACTATAGTCTTCAGTATGGACTGTAAAGCAATAGAAAGAAAACAAAAATCCTACCAAACAGACCAGTAAGCACATCATGATAAAGAGGAAAAGGGTTGACGTTATCAAGGATTTCATTTTACTTGGCTCCACCATCGATACTCCTGGAAGCAGCCTAAGAAATCAAACAACATATTACATGGAACAAATCTGCCACACAAGACATATTTTAAGTAGCAAAAAGTCAAGATGTCACTTTAAGGACTAAAAAGTCTGACTCAAGCCATGGTATTTTCCATCACCTCATATGGATGTGAAAGCTGGAAAATGAATATTAAATATATCCATGGACTATTAAATACATCATGGCCTGTTAAATTCACCATTGTTAACTATACCACGGACTGTGGTGCATAAGTTAAAATCGGCTTGCTGACACCTAACAACAACAATGCAATGCTTTATCTGTAACCTTTCTTAAGGGAATGGCTAGAGACTTTAGTCTTACCTGTAAGCAACCACACACACTGCTCTTTTTATTTATCATTTTATTCTATTTTTTAATAAATCGTTTTATTGGGGGCTCTTATGACAATCCATCTATCAATTGTATCAAGCACATTTGTACATATGTTGTCATTATCATATGTACATAGTGTATCATGTATCATAGTGAATGAGGGGGGAGTGCGGAATGGAGACCCAAAACCCATCTGTAGGCCACTGGACATCCCGTTACAGAAGGGTCTCAGGGAGGAGATGAGCCAGTCAGCGTGTGATGTAGCAACGATGAAAAATACAACTTTCCTCTAGTTCCTAAATGCTTCCTCACCTCCCCCCCACCACCACTATCATGATATGAATTCTACCTTGCAAGTCTGGCTAGACCAGAGGATGTACACTGGTACAGATAGGAACCAGAAACACAGGGACTCCAGAGCGGATGATCCTTTCAGGACCAGTGGTGTGAGTGGCGATACTGGGAGGGTAGAGGGAGGGTGGGTTGGAAAGGGGGAACTGATTACAAGGAACTATATGTGACCTCCTCCCTGAGTGACGGACAACAGAAAAGTGAGTGAAGAGAGATGTCGGACAGGGCAAGATATGACAAAATAATAATTTATAAATTATCAAGGGTTCATGAGGGAGGTGGTAGCGGGGAGGGAGGAGAAAAAATGAGGAACTGATGCCAGGGGCTTAAGAGGAGAGCAAATGTTTTGAGAATGATGAGAGCAATGAATGAATAAATGTGCTTGACACAATTGATGTATGTATGGATTATGATAGGGGTTGTATGAGCCCCTAATAAAATGATTAAAAAAACAAAACAAAAAATATGAGTTGGGATGCTTATGCTAATATTCTGCATTTGCTGTAAATCACTGGTTACAAAGAGCCAGTGCAGAGCCTTTTGATCAGGGTTCAGCAATGACTTATTTGTGCAAGACACACAATGTCCTCGGAAGACCTTTTTTTTTCTTACAAGTAATGAATCCTTGCAATTAATGGGAAATGTTACTTAAAAGCATCAGCCTCGCTAGCAGAAAGAGAATGATAGTTTGGGGGTATAGTCTGCTGCATAGCATGATTACCTACAATGAGTGTAGTTTCACAATATTATCTGTAAGCCAGCATTTTCCTTCCTTGCATTTTCTACCTCTCTCATATCACTGTTAGCACCACAAGAAGGAAACCCTAAAAAGCGCTTCATGAAAATAATTTGAACTTGACCTTGTGCTCCCAGAAACAATTGCATTTGCAGCTCTTCCCAACCTCATATTCAAAAGCACCCACCCATATCTGGTCTCTTTTACTACTTTCTCCTAAAAGAGGGTGGAGAGATATATTCGGTATGTAAAAATAAGCTATTGTATCTCAAAGAGGAGATAGGATGTTCATTAAGGGTTGTTTGAATGAACAAGTCATGCTGCATTGTCTACTGGGAGCTGCCTGCCAATTGCTTTTTTGGTTAAGAGTCAAGAAAAACATTGGAAAGGGCCCCGGCAGGCCTGGGAGAGAAGCGAGCAGCGCTTCCATTTATCAAGTAGGTGCAGAAAGTTTCTCCCATCTTGTTAGCTGTCAGGGTGCCGGCTGCAGCTTCCCGGTCTTTTCCCATCTTAGAGAGACCTGTCTTAAAGAGGGGCCTGCCGCTCCTTCGGATCACAGACCATGGGGTACGTATCCCAGACTACAGGACCACGGAATACCTCTTTCTCTACTGAATACCTTTTCCAAGATTCTTTGTCATTCTTCCTGGACTGATCCAGAGGCAAGTGTTTTAAGATACGTACTAGCCTGGGTCTTGCAGTGAAATAACTGATACTCTTTGGAAAGAAAGGAGGCAAACTGGTCAGTATGGTTGCCTTTATCAAACTGAGGGATGTTAGACCTGTAGCCAGGGGTAAAGGTGAAAGGAAATGAATTTTCTCTGATTTAAAAAGGTTTCATCCTGTTAGCATGCTGTCAGGCAGTTTGCCTTTAGCTTGCTGGCCTGACAGGCTTGGGTGTGGGGCAGCATGTAAATGCAGCTGAAACGTTATGTTGTTACTTTGTTTGGAAAAGGATCAACACGGAGAGGATGTGCTGTGGTTTTCTGTAAGGGATGACAGAGCAGTGATTCCACTAGATGAAGTGACTTCCTGTGTGACTCTCGCGTGTGGAGGGCTTAGCACTTCTTACCATCGCACGGCACAGAAGGCGTGCGCCTGGCACGGTCCACGTCTCCCCTTCATTCTGCCACTCTGTGGCTCCTCTGCTGCCCTGCTGTGTCCATAAGTCGTCTTTTTCTTTTTCTTTTTGTCACGTGTGATCTTTAGGCTTTGGATATAATTATGAAGAAATTAGTCTTCTACAGTTACAATATCCCAATTGAAGGAAAGGCAATTAAGAAATTTCAATATAAAGATTATGTTTTGGGGGGAAATTATCAGTTTTCCCCCCTAAAATTAACCTTGCTTCCTAGGCACTCCAAGTAAAACATTAGCGTTTGCCTTTTACATTCTGAAGCATTGTATTATGTGGTTAAAATTTGTCATAGTTACATTTCGTCATTTAAAAGATAAAGTAAGATGTGCTTGTAGCTCTGAGTCGCATTTTGTAGTTTTGTGTTTGGTTTCAATGATGGGGCCTTGGTCGAACCATAATCAAATCATAGTTACTACAAGGAAATCAGATCCCTTAGACTTCTTTAAGCCTTTCTTAATTCAGTGGCTAGGAAATGTAATATTAATAACATATTTGGAGTGCTTTCTTTGTGCCTGACTTTATTCTAAATGGTTTTCACGAATTCCATCATGATAAAACTGAGGCCCCAAAGATTAGATAACTTACTCATGAACTGACAGTGGTGCAGCCACGGTTTGTACCCAGGCTTTCTGACTACCAGGACTTCATTTTAATCACTATATTATAATGCTTTGCCTACAGTATAATTGTTATTACTTTTCTTAAGCCTTTCAACTATGCATTTAAAAAATAATGATTACATCATATGTTTATGTCAATGAACCCCATCGGTGAAGAAGCCATTGGTCCTGGAAAATATGAACCCATAGATATATTAATAGTCAGGATAGCTGCTTTAAACACAAGAGAAACTTCCCTGAGTGGTGTTTAGCCCCTCATTGCTACTCCTCTCGGACCCTTCCGTTCGCTGAAGCAGGAGCAGGCGGCTTGTCTCCAGCACCGTGTAGAACGTACCTTGGTTTCCAGGTGTCATATCAGAAACTATGGGTCGAATATTTGGATCCTAACTTTTCTGTGTAGTTTTGCCTCATTTACTTGTTTCACAGGGTCTGTGGCAACAGTGTTGGAAAGGCTCAAGTGAAAATTCATACTTTAAGAAAAACACTTTTTTAGATATAATTTATAGACCATAAAATTCACTCAATTAAAATGTACAATTCAATGGTTTTAGCATATTGACAACATTTTAAAACTTCATCTTTGATTTTTTTTAAATTTCAAAGATCTTTGAGATGCTTAGATGAAAAGGACTCCTGTGGCTAATGAAGACTATTCATATTTTCGTTTCCCTCCTTCAGAAATGTGTGCTTTACTGGCCGGAAAAGAGAGGAATCTATGGGAAAGTCGAGGTTCTGGTGCTCAGTGTGAAAGAATGTGATCACTACACAGTCCGAAACCTGGTCTTAAAGGTAAGCTATGAGGCCATAAATATCTACAAAGTAGATGATGATATAGGATTACACCTCTACTGTGAAATTACTTGTCCTCTTCAGTACTACAAATTCAGTTTAAAAAAATTAAATAATATCAGGATCAAAAAGAAATTCTAATCATTCCCAGATGTATGCCTTGGTCGTCTGCTACTATAAGCTGTGGAATAATTATATTAAAATAAGTAGATATTCAGGAAATTACTTATGTAGGATGCTATGATCTTTTAATTTGGATAATTAGCACATCCCTGATTGAACCTTTCAAAAGCCTAGAACTGAAAGCTGTGGTAGAGACCTTCCTGTAACTCTCTCTCGTTCTCTTTTTAAGTCACTTTGGTCTAAGCGGCTTTAAGTAAGATCCAGAAACTGGAAGACAGAAAACCTGCACTTGTGGGTGGTGGTAGGAGGGAAAACAAGCCCGAAGTGTTGAAGAGTTCTTCAGTAACGTGGAGTTACAGTCATTTATAGGGACTTTTCCCAGACACGATTACGTCATAGAAAAATTATCTTATTTAACTTATTGTAGGCAGATCCTGAGAAAAGTTGCCATGGTATTATGTTTTTTCCTCTCATCCCAAAATGTCAGTCTTATCTCTAGCATAACTGTTGGAAAAGAATCATCTTAGAGGGGAAGAGGGTGGAGGCAGAGCTTCAGTGACAGTTTTTGTTGAGACATGCTGGACAGGAAGGCACTTATGGAAAAAATGTCCTCAACATATGTTCCCCAGAGCCTAGGATATGCCAAGCCCTCAGCCAGGCACTGGGTTGCCAAGGTGGCACACACAGACCCAATGCGCACACATTTGCAATCAAGCAACCCCATGCTGCTCCTTTCCCATGGGGGTCCTCCCTACTGTCAAATACTGGAATTTGGGGTGAGTGTAGAGGTATTAAGATGAATGACTATAAAATTAAATGTTCTTATAATGATTGACCAGTTGTTCTTTAGTCAATCCCAAATCGTGGTGAGCCTAAGTGGGTCCAACGAGAAGTGTGCTCCTTAGGCTTTCGATAGCTAAGATTTCAGAAGTCGATTACTGAGTCTGGCTTCCTGTTCACAGCTGAGCATGCTATCCAGGGTCCCTCGATGGTGCAAATGGTTATCATGCTTGGTTATTAACCAAAACGTTGGTGTGGTTTGAATCCACTCGGGTGCCCCTGGCTGCTGATACTAGTGTATTGGTTAATTCCTTTCAGGGACACTCACAAAACAGGAAACACAATCTCCTTCTTCTTTCAGGGATACATTTTTCATCTACCATTTTATTCATCGCATCTATAAACATATTCAGCATCTTTTACATATGCACTATCCATATTAAATACGTATCTCATTTAATAAGAGTGAAACAGTCCAACTTTGAGATTGGGATATGTATAGTAACGCTTTCTTAAGGTGAGCGCTTGAAAAATCTCCAGTTTCCAATGAGCCGTAAGTTTTCTGCCTCAAAATAAGTTGCCAACAAGCTGGGAGCAAGAGAAAGGATCATGACTGTGGTTTCGATGACTTTCAATTCCACAAGTGACCGAGGTGGTTAGTGACTGTTGTTATTTTCAGCATGGAAGTCACACGCAGCATGTGAAGCACTATTGGTACACCTCCTGGCCTGATCACAAGACTCCTGACAGTGCCCAGCCCCTACTCCAGCTCATGTTGGACGTAGAGGAAGCCGGGCTTGCTTCCCTGGGCCGAGGGCCTGTGGTTGTCCACTGCAGGTAAGACACAAACTACCCTTTCTGCCGGCGCAACTGTCCATTCTGGGGAAAGTGACAGAGTGAGAGGTAGTTGGGTTTTTGTTACTGGCTGTGATCTCATCGGTAATGAAGTTATTTCATGGAATTTGCTAACTTCCTAATATTTGAGACTGGACCAAGATGATAATTATGGAAATGAAGTCAGCTTTTAAGAGCATTTTCAGCAAGCATGTGCAGTATTGACAAAAAGCAAGTTTTCAGTAAGTGAGCAGAAAAGCTTAGTCACTTAGCCTGAAATGTACATTTATTCCATTAGTCTCATGTGCCTCGGCCACCCAGAGACACTGTTTGAAATCATCCGTGGGTTTGGTGTTGTCTCCATGTAGGACTTCCTCTGAACGTGGGTGGTATCTTGTTAACATAGAGGAGGATGTCAAATTTGGTGAAAATCCTGGGGTGCTGGATGCGGGGTGACATAAGGACCAGATGTCCTTGATGGCTTCCTTCCCTAATGTCTAGCTTGAATCTCTCCTGCCATGATTGATACCTCAAGCAGGAGAACCCTGTTTTTCTTCTACCATATCCAAACTAAAGCAGGTAATTTAAAGATGGTTTATATAACAATCCATTTACTGATGTATCGCTTTATTTAGCCTTCTCATAAGTCTGTTGAGATAGCTTTTGATACTACTTTCAATAAAGTTTTTTTTTAAATATCATTGTAAATTATAATTTTAACTTATTTTTTTGGACTTTTCTGGATTAATTAAGAGTAAAATTTTCAACATTTCCATTTATTCTAAGAGGGCATTAACAACCTCCTAGCCGAGGGCCTTGTCCCAGAGGTAGCTTAGGTTGAAAAGCAACCTCATTGGCCATCTATCAGAATTGGGACTGTTCCCCACCCCAAACCATGAGAGTCAGGGTATCTAAAGCCAACCAGTCACTTCCCTTATAAAACCAGTCCCCTTCTGATTACTGTTTCTAAGAGTGAAGCCATCCTTTTATTTCCAGGCACTCAACACTCACAGTTTCCAGTTATCTTCAGCAATTCTTTCACCTGCATCCTCAGTATCTAATCAGGCACCAGATAGTCTTTCCCTTCAAAGCTTCTCTGGTAACCACTTCCTGCCCAACCACCCTAGTCCGGGCCCTTGTGACCTCATCCTTGCTTGTAGAAATAGTTCGCTAACTGTACATGAATAACCCCATCCCCACTTTAACCTACTCTGTGCGCATCTCTGGGCTGATATTCCTAAAATCTTTTCTTTTTTTTTTTTAAAATCACCTGAAGTCCTGCTCAAAATTCCCACTGGTTTCCCACTGTCTGCGGTGAAAGTTCTTATTGTTGGGTGTAGGGAGTTCAATGAATGCCTTGAAAGTATTTGAACAAACTTGGGTGTATACGTTTATGAGAATTCATAGTGGTCATTCTCAAAATAAATAGATAAATAATTTAAAATACAAGTAGAAGATGAAGGCCCAACCTCTTATCTTTCTATATAAAATCCTTTAGAGGCACCAGTGGCGAGCTGGGAAGCATAAAAGGCACAGCACTTGGTTACTATTGAAACGGTTGACAGTTCAAGCTCACTGCAAGCACTTTGGAAACCAGACCTGGGGATCTGCCTCGGAAAGGTCACACCCTCTAAGACTCTGTGGAAGAATTCTACTCTGCAAACATGGGGTTGCCGTGAGTTGGAGTGGACTCAGAGAAAATGCCTGGCAACACTATTTCCTCCGGTCCCTCTGCGATAACTCTCTACGGCAAGCGAGTCTCCACACTGTCATAGATCATGTATCCTGTGGGACAATTTTCTTTTCTTATACTGTCCTACTTTGAGAATATCCCATATGGAATAGTCTCCCTCACTCATGATAACCAAAGCCCCTAACATTATTAGGGTACAGTTCAAATTGTCATTTTTTCAATGAAACAAATCCTGTACAAACACATCAACAAAAGGAGACCTCTAAGTCTTCTCAAGTTTTCTAGCACTCACCCGGCATGAAAGAAAGTGCCACCTAGGAAAAATAAGTATTATTTGAATGCCAAGAAATAACTCCACTCATGGGGACTAAAGAAAGCACCTAAAGTTAGCATGTGTTGAATTAAGTCTTGACAAATAACTAGTGTTTGAGGTTTTAAATGGTAGTGGGGAGTGCATTTCTAACCAAGGATATATTATGAACGCAGAAAGAATCATTAGAAAAGAAATGGCGTTTTTGGTAATGATTCATATCGAGTAGAAGAGGTACAGGGAGAACTGCAGAAGCTTGGAAGTTAATGACGACCAGATGATGAGGGGCCACAAATAACCTGGTAGGATGCTTAGATATCATCCTATAACTCATGGGAGTCAGCGAGGAGTAATATACTTAGGGCTCTTCTCTAGAAAGATGAACCTAGCAGCTGTCCAGGAAGAACCTTGAGATGTGGAAGCTGTGATGAGATCATTGCTTTAATTTAATCATCAGCTAAGGGGATGCTGGACACGTGAGCACAGTCTATGGAAAAGAAAGCATGGGTCCCCAAGAGCTCCGCGGAGGAGGGAGATAGAACACTTTGGTAACAGATTGGATGTGGGAGGTGAGAGAGGGGGAAGACGTTAAAGATGGCTCCAAATGTCTAGGCTGGAAAAGTTGTGACTGGCTGGTCATGCCATTAAGGGGAAAGATAATGAATTCCGTTTGATATATATCAAATTTAGATGCATTGAATTGAAGCGAGCACAGGATAGGGACATGAAGAGTGTGCTTGGGTGTGAAATGCCAACCTAGAGTTTACACGAAACCTTGAGAATGCAGGTGTTGATTTGAGAGACGTTTACCTAAAGACTGTGAGTAGGTTGCATTGACTGATAGGAAGAAGGAAAACGCTTGTTAGTTGAGTTCAGGACCTACCGTTTAAGGTAAATGAAAATGTAAAACATGCTGGACATGTTTGAATTATCGCCTCTATCTAAGTGACCTAGAAATGTTTGCTTCTAGACATTTCCTCTCCTAAACAAAGAGAATCTACAATCCTCCACAGGAGTCTATCCACACCCCTGCTCCCCTCGCTCTCCCTCAAATCAGTCCTCATTCCCTTCGAGCTCAGGGGGCCCTCATGCTTCCAGGACTCCAGACCTGGCATTGAACTTGACATATGACTCACTCGTCAGTGCCATGTGCAAGTCTCAAACTGTGGATGCCTAAAGGTTGGCCTCTATGCTGCTGATACCTCACCGAAGTTCAGGCCCTGGTGTTTCTCTAGTCCAGAACAATTGCAATGCCTTTACCCTGCCTTTCCCACCCACAACTGCTCCTCAGCCCACTGCTGGTAGATGCTGAGACGATTTTGCCTCACAGTGACCTCAGGTGACAGAGTAACATGTCTGGGAGCAGATCTGTGTCCCAGAGAGCAACAGGTGAGCTGGAACCACCTAGTGGGTTTGAACCGCCAGGTAGGGTCAAACGACCAGTCTTTCGGGTTAGCACCTAAGTGCTTCACCGTTGCCCTACTGCACTCCCACTCACCCAGAATGGAGTCAGTGAAAAAGGATCGCTGCGATGGTTCCATTTCATGCGCGCACAGGTCTCACCCTAAACATGTTTCAACATAATGCTCCTCTTCAGGACAGTGGTCGATGAGTTCTTAGTAATGCATTTTTCTTTGTTTGATTAGGGGGCCTTACAAAAAAAAAAAGATGCATCTGTGTCATGAGAAAAAAAATTGTTTTGTAGTGAGTAGCAATAGAAAAATCTTTAACAAAACTCTAGTGCGCATCTTCCCAACTCGTTGACGTTTTGAAGCCAGTTTGTGAGCTGCTCCACCCAGAACAGCAGTTTTCAGTGCGATCAGGTGTTTCAAGGAGGGTCGGTGAGATCTCAGAGATTAATTGAAGGCATCGCGGTCAGCTCAGAAGTGGTAACGGTGACTGTCTTTTGAGAGCTCAGAAGGGTAATTTGGATAGATTTTCCTGAAGGACAGAGGCCTGGAAGAAGTTTTAGGAAAATTTAGAAATTGCATTGGTGAGAGGGTAGCAAGGGCTGTCCCAGGAGAACTTTGTTGGGAAATCTCTCCGTCCACCCAACCGGCCTGGTCTTTGTTGTTCCTAAAACTCAAAAAAGCATTTCAAAGGGACACAATCCGAGTCCCTTAAGATGTCAAAACTGCCATTTTGACATGCTATCACCCGAAGAGTTGAGAATTCTTTGAGGAAAGGTTAGAGAGCTGGAAGCACTGCTTGCAGACGTGCATAGACCTAACCACGGGGTTTGTCCAGAGCAGCAGCCCCCCACCCCCCATTAATCTTTTGTTTCACAATTGTTACTATTATTTTGGAGAAAAAACTTTTGGACTTCCCTGGGCGTAACTAAATAAAAAAATATGTACTTGAAGCAACTTAACACAGGATCCAACTTCTATTACTCAATACATAGACCTGTTTTATGGCTGTTATTACTAAGTGTTCACATTTAAAAAGATTAAAAATGACTCACTGAAAAGAGTATCATTTACCTTTCTCATCGTTCTTCCATCTTTTATCTTTATGTTTTCCTTCCAGTGCAGGGATAGGTAGAACTGGATGTTTCATTGCAACTTCCATTGGCTGTCAGCAGTTGAAAGAAGAAGGAGTTGTCGATCCCCTAAGCATTGTCTGCCAGCTTCGTGTGGACAGGTGGGTGCTTGAAGGATTTCCTAAGTGAGATTTCACTTCGGACTAGCATGAGCAGCCACAATCAGATCTGATCAATTGGGCTTTGTAAATTTCCCAGGCACCCAACCCCTCAGTCGCCAAAAAGATTTGTGTAAAATGCTGAATCATACATATCCATTAAAAAGTCCCCCTGTTACTCATAGCACCAATCCTCCAAAAATTCAAAAGCCTACCATCCATACTTAATCTTTCTTCATCTCGCACACAGACTGTTCCTATATGCTGCTCCTCATTTATTTTACTCTCTATTGCTTTCTATGTGAGGATGGTGCAGGAGCGAGCAATATTTGGTTCTGTTGTACAAAAGTTGCTTATGATAGTCAAAGCCCACTCATGCATACTGAACAATAAACAACACTCCCTTTCTACATACTCTGCATTCTCCTGTGACTTACTCATTGCCTTTAAGGTCTTGAGCCTTTAAAATGACACATGTGTGGTACTACTATCAAGGAGTGTCTTATAGGCACGTAGTTTTATCACTTCTGTGAGGACTTCTATACTGTGTTTCAGAGCCTGACAATAAACATCTCTTCCTCACACCATTACTACACGTATGTGGGTGGAAGAATAGTTGAGCCCATGATAGAAAACACTGAGCAGAGGCTTCTTGCCAGGGGTCACAGAGAGAAAGGGCCATAGGGTCATATAGGTTGCTGACCATTATGATCAGCAACTCAGTATACTGGGAAATGAACTTTTTCAATTCATTCATTCACAGAGTAAATATGCCTTCGTCGTTTAGGAATTGCTCTCAATGCTACACTTACAGCGTCTGCCAAGATGAATGAGGCCCCAGCCCCAGATCTTACAGAATTCAGAGGTGGACAGACAGAAAGATAGATAAGAAACAACAAAATATATGCGCATTAATTTCAGACAGAGATAAATTCCGTGAAGTAATGAAACAAAGAGGGTTACAGCCTATAACCTAGACTTTCCTAAAGATGAAACTGTACCGTTACTTTTAAAGTTTCATTCAACAAAAAGGGATCAAATTGCTGTTCTGAAAATTGAATGAGGTACATAGCACTTGCACAGTTTGGCCATCGTTATTAGAATTATGTTTTAAAAGTTTCTCTTCTTTCTGAAAATTAAACATGTAAGTCCTCCAGTCCAGGTTAGGTTTTCCTTCTTTGCTCCAGAGCTCCCGGTCTCCTCTCTCAGGCATCTCTCCATCCCGACCACTGTTTGTCTCCTTTTAAATAATAGCCTTAAAGTCTTTCTAAGTGCATTTCCCTTCTCTTTTTACTCTTAATTTTGGCTCCCTTCTTAGCGACTGCTCATCATGCTGGTTAAGATCCGGAGCTCTGCTAAGAGGTTCTCAGGGTTTGTTGGCTGGCTCCCATCATTCTCAGGTCGGGTGACCTTGGGTGGCTCTGAAGGAGCAAACTTCTTTATGCCTCACTTCTCTTCTGGGAAAGTGGAAATAACCATAACATATATATCATAGGCCATTGCCAAGATTAAAATAGACAATCTATGTAAAGTACCTGGCATATAATATGAATTTAATTAAGTTTAGTTAGATTTAGTATCAACATATAAAGATGTGTGTCCTAAACACACATCTATAAACTGGAGATAATATCTTCCAATTCCATTTTCTACAAACACTTTGGAGCCACTTGGAATATATCTCACAAGATAACTATAATAGTTAGATGAGATTAGACCTATGAAGTAGTTACTAGAGTGATTAATCTAGGTTTCTTATCCCCTCCCTCCCCTTCCTATAGCATCCCCCTTCCCATATCACATATATAACTATGCTTCCAAAAAAGCCTTTTCTTTCGGTACCTAAGATTTTCCCCCATTTTCTCTTCTCCTTCTCTTGTAATTGCCCTTTAGGGCTCCTGCTATCCCCTCCCCTTCCATCCAATGTAATCCATCTCTAACGATGGTGGATTCCAGAAGCTTCACTCCGATTCTGTCATCTGCCCTCATCTACCCAGAAGAGCAGTTGCAGGTCAAAAGATCAGACCTGCTCCTGCTGTGGCCTTGATTTCTCCAGCTTTGTGCTTTTGTAAACAAGAGTTCGTCACTGGACTCAAAATCCTGTAGGAACAGAAGTTCATATCCCTGAACACTGCTTTTTGACTACCATAAAGAGCCTATGTGGAGCATCACATTAGGATTAGGCTGCTAACCACAAGGTCAGCAGTTCAAGGTCAGCTGCTTCAAAGGAGAAAGATAAGGCTCTCTGCTTCCATAAAGATGTGTAGGCTCAGAAACCTAAAGGGATCGTTCTACTCTGCTCTATAGGGTCACGATGAGTCAGTTAACTCAATGGCAGTGATTTCTAGGTGTTTTGATTTGTTTTTGTTTGGGTTTGGCTTGGCTTGTTGGTTTTCTCGGGGTGTCCCTTTGTGTTTGGGTTTGTTCTGTTGTTCAATGGCAGAGCTCCATGAGCACCCGCTGCCGGCACAGATCTCACCTGACTCCATGCCACGCTGGCCTCCAGGATGACTTGCCCTACCTCTGGAACACCACCCTGGAAAATGGGCTTGACTCATCTACCTTTTTGTATCTTACTGCAAGTCCATGTTACCTATTGACCCTCCCATCTTCCCTCCCCTCTCCTGCCCACCCTTGGAAAGTGACCTCCTCTTCGGTTTCTATTTCCTAGTCATATTCTCTTGCCAAGCCCACCAAGTTGTCCTTTCGTTTTGAATGGCATCACAAATCCATTCTTTAAACTATTCTTGTTGTAAACCATATCACAATGCTCTTTCTATCTGCTCCTTCCTCCCTAGAGCAAATGGTCAGAAATTTTAACCTTGGCCTGCTAATTGGAGTCAATGCCAAGGTTTTCCCACAAGGGTTGTCCTTTTACTCCCGATAGGATCTTCAAAACATCGCCAAATTCTCTACTGATCTGAAGCCCACAGGCGCCTTACCACCCGAGATTTGAAGTACTGCCAATATATGTCTCAACATCTTTCTATCTGATATATTTATCAGGATCCCCACTGCATGCATTCTTTCTGAGCAGCTGCTTCTATTGTTTATGAAGCGGATCCTCTCCTTAAAACTTTCCTTGAAAGGTCTCCCCTCTACCTTCCTTCCTTCCCAGGATCAACAGCAATTTTCCTCTCTGGTCTCTGCCTTCTGTTGTTCACTCTCCCAATCAGAGTGTCAAACTCCCCCACTTATCCCGTGCCCCGCACGCCCCCCATGCCACACACACCCCACGCGCATGATTCCTCCCTCCCCCTTCAGTTCTTTAGCATTTCACCTGAGGCATCAAACAGAATGAAATGAAGGCGAGTGCAGGCATGAGGAGGGTCTGGAGTGAAAGCACAGAATGCCAGGATGGTGTTTGCTTGGCTCTTAATGACTATGAGAAGGCATTCACCTATGTGGCGCACAACAAACTATTGATAACTTTGCGGAGGATGGGCTTTCCAGAATCCTTCGTTGCAATCCTGTAGAACCTGTACCCAGACCCAGAGCCATGACTGGAACACAACAAGAAGATACTGAGTGGTTTCAAATCCAGGAAGGTGCTGTGTCATCCTTTCACCACATGTGTTCGAACTGTATGCTGAGCAAGGGGTGCAAGAAGAGGGACTGTGTGCATGCACCGTCATGATCAGTGGAAGACTTATGCGCAACATGCAAATGACACAACCTGGCTTGCTGAAACGTAACACACTTGCTGATGAAGCCCCACGATTGCAACCTTCAGCATGCAGTGCACATCAACATGAAGAAACCAGCATGCTCACAACTAGAGCGACTCCACAATCAGTGCTCATGGAATCAGCAGTCCAGAAATCAAGAAACTCACTGCATTGGGCAAATGTGCTTTACAAGACCTTTTTAAAGTATTAAAGAGTAAATATTTTACTTTAAGGACGAAGATGTACCTGATGCACGCATGACATATTTAATTGCCTCAAATTCATGTGAGAACTAGACAATGAATAAGGAAGAATAAATGATTTTAATCCTGACATTGGCAGAGTATATTGAACGTACCATGGCCCACTAGAAAAGCAAGCACGTCTGTCTTGAAAGCAGTTTACCCCGGCCTGAAGGTGAACAAGCGGCCGTCTAGTTCAGGAGCAACAAAGCCCCCATGGAAGAAGCACACCAGCCTGTGTGACCACGAGGTGTCTAGGGATCAGTTATAAGTCATCAAAGAACAAAAAATCATATCATTGTGTGCTCACCTCCATGATACGATCGCTGAAGACAAATGGGTACATAAGCAAATATGGCGAAGAAAGTTGATGGTGCCCGGCTATCAAAAGTATAGCATCTGGGATCTTAAAGGCTTGAAGGTAATCAAGCGGCCATCGAGCTCAGAAGCAACAAAGCCCACATGGAAGAAGCGCACCAGCCTGTGCGATCACGAGGTGTCAAAGGGATCAAGTATAAGGCATCATCAGAACAAAAAATCTTACCATAGTGAATGAGTGGGGGGAGTGCAGAGTGGAGACCCAAAGCCCATTTATAGGCCACTGGAGATCCCCTTGCAGAGGGGTCTCAGGGAGGAGACAAGCCAGTCAGGTTGCGATGTAGCAACAATGAAAAATACAACTTTCCTCTAGTTCCTAAATGCTTCCTCACCCCCCCGCCCCCCACTATCATGATCTGAATTCTACCTTGCAAGTCTGCCTAGACCAGAGGATGTACACTGGTACAGATAGGAACTGGAAATACAGGGAATCCAGGGTGGATGATCCCTTCAGGACCAGTGGTGTGAGTGGCGATCTGGGAGAGTAGAAGGAGGGTGGGTTGGAAAGGGGGAACCAATGACAAGGATCTACATGTGACCTCCTCCCTGGGGGATGGACAACAGAAAAGTGGGTGAAGGGAGATGTCAGACAAGGCAGGATATGACAAAATTATAATTTATAAATTATCAAGGGCTTATGAGGGAGTGGGGAGCGGGGAGGGAGGGGGGAGGGGGAATGAGGAGCTGATGCCAGGGGCTTAAGTGAAGAACAAAT